CCCTTTACCCTAGTCTTATGCATAAGCAGTAGATCTCCAAGCTCCTGGTAGATTCTTGGCTTGGCCAAAATAATGCAGATTTCCCTGAATAGGATTCTATAGGCCTAGTATTTATCCTGTAATAATATTAGTCAGTCAACAAATATTTATTAAGTGCCTACTATGTGCCAGGCACTGTTTGCTGTTGTTGTTGTTCAGTACATGTTGTTTTAGTCATGTCTGACTCTTTGTAGCCCCATTTGGGGTTTTCTTGGCAAAGATACTGGAGTGACTTGCTAGCTCCTTCTCCAGCTCATTTTATAGGTGAGGAATCTGAGGCAAACAGAGTTAAGTGACTTGCCCAGGGTCACACAGCTAGTAAGTGTCTAAGGCTAGATTTGAACTCTGGAAGAGGAGTCTTCCTAACTTCAAGCCTGCTGCTCTATCCATTGTACCACCTAGTTACTTGACAGGCACCAAAAGAGGCAAAAAAAAAAGTCCTTGCCTTCAAGGAATTAACAATCTAATGGGAGAGACAAACAAATATGTACAAAAAAGGTATATATACATATATATTTATATATATATATTAAATATTATATATTTATATTGTATATATTATATATATTAAATATTATATATTTATATTATATATATATATAATAGGAGAAAAAGCATTAGAATTAAGAGAAGTTGGTAAAGACTTCTTATGGAAAAATGGGATTTTAATTGAGACTTGAAGGAATCCAGAGAAGCCAGTAGGCAGAGAGGAGGAGGGAGAAGCAAAGGATTTTGTATTTGATCCTGGAAGCCATAGGGAGCCACTGGAGTTTATTGAACAGGGAGAGTGACATGATCAGACCTGTACTTTTAGGAAAATCACTATCACTTTGGTGCCTGAATGGAAAATGGCTTAGAATTAGGAGAGACTTGAGGCAGGCTGACCCACCAGCAAGCTACTGTAATTGCACAAACATGAGGTGATGAGGACCTGCATTAGAGTGATGGCAATGTCAGAGTAGAGAAGGGAACATATTCCAGAAATGTCGCAAGGGTGAAATTGGCAGGTCTTAGCAACAGATTGGATATTGGGGGGGGGGGGGGGGGGGGAGGGAAAGGGGAGAGGGGGGAAAGAGGGGAAGGGGGGATCCCGGGGGGGGGGGGGGGGGGGGTGGACCCGGAGGGGGGGGGGGGGGGGGGGGTGGAGATGAGAGACAGTGAAGAGCTGAGAATGATGCTAAGTTGAGATCCTGAGGGGCTGGGAGGATGCTGTTACCCTGTATAGTAATGGGGTGGAGGGTAGGGGGAAGATAATGAGTTTGGTTTGGGACATGTGGAGTTTAAAATGTCTATTGGACATCCAATTTAAGAGGTCTAAAAGACTGTTGAAGATGCAAGATTGGAAGTCAGCAGAGAGGGCAGGACAGTTAGATTTGAAAATCATTCACATAGAGATGGTATCCAGAAGAACTAATGAGATCACCAAGTGAAGTAGTGTATAGGGAGGAGAGGAAAGGGCTGAAGAAAGAACCAGGTGGGACACAAAGTTAGAGGGCACGACCTGGATGGAGATCCAGCAAAGGAGATTCTGAGGAGTGGTCAGAGAGGTAGGAGGAGAACCAGGAGAGGGTGGTGTCCTGAAACCTTGAGAGAAGAGAGGATCAAAGAGGAGAGTGATGAATAGTATAAGGTCCAGAATTCCCCTGGCTGGGAGCCCTGTGCCTTCCCCATAACAATGGGGTGAAGAGGTCAAGGGGCTCCAGACTGATAATAAGGTTTTAATCAATTATTATGGATACTTACAAACAGGGGCAATCTGGGATAACTGTTGCACAATTCAGTAGATCCCAGGAAAGAACCCCTAAAATCCCTGTGGTAATTATACAAATCAGACAAAAGGAGGAGGAACCATAGGGTGCTTCACTACACATTGGTGGATATTTTGGGTTTTTCTGATTAATGTTCTGGCAAATATTTTAGCTCATACTTAGTATTGAACCCAGTTCCCAAATATCCAGGCATTTACTAGGTGCTGTTGGTTAAATTCCCAGGCACTCAAGGTTAGGTACCAGTCATGTACTGGTCAAGTACAGGTCACAGCATCTTAAGTTATGACTCAGTGCTTGAACTATGATTCAGTATCTAAGTTGTGATTTTTAACAGGTCACCATGCCCAGGCTTCCACCTTTCACAGAGTTTAAGTTAATGGCTTTCACTTCTTACTGTGTATTATGGCTTTTCCCCAGTATGGACCCCACGAACAATATCAAAGTATACAGAGAGGTTGAGGAAAATGAGGACTGAGAAAAGATCATTGGATTTAGCATTTAAGAGATCATTGAGAGAGCAGTTTCAGTGTAACGACGAGGTCAGGAACCAGATTGTAGATGGTTACGGAGATGGTTACGGAGGCATCTATTGTAGACAGTTTTTTCAAGTAGTTTAGCCACAACAGACCAAGAGATATAGGACTACAATTAGTGAGGATGGAAGGAACAAGTGAGTTTTTTTATGCTTTGCTATAAAAAGAGCATTACTGCAGAGAGACAACATAGTATAGTAGGTGGAGAGTTGGTCTTCAAGTCAAGAAGACTTTAATAAATTCTAATTGACTTGACTTGACCTGGGTTCATTCCTGCCTCTGACATATATTGGCTGCATGATCATGGGGAAGTTATTTAATTTCCCAACACCCTCAGGCAGCTCTGTAAGATTGTAAATTTCAAAGAAGGTGCTGGCTTGCATTGGTAGAGGAAGTTCTTCTCCTGGAATTCCATATATATATTACTGACACGGTGTTGGTGGCAGGCATATATATATATATATATATGAAATGCCTGCCACCAACACCGTGTCAGTAATGTGTACCCTCATGCATCTTAACAGGTTTCTGAGGATAGACATTATAAATGCACAAAAGAGATACTCCTGTTTTTAGATCTACAGCTAGAAGGGGCCACAGAGCGCAAAGTCATCTAACTGCTTCCTTTTAGAGTTAAAGAAACTGAGGAGGCCAAGGGAGATTAAATGATTTACCCAAGCTCACACAAATAGTAGCTATCACAGGTGGGATTTGAACCTAGATTCTCTGACTTTTGTTCAGTCATGTCTGACTCTTCATGACCCCATTTTCTTGGCAGAGATATTATAATGGCTTGCCATTTCCTTCTCCAGCTCACTTTACAGATGAGGAACTGAGGTAAGCAGGATTAGATGACTTGCCCAGACTCACACAGCTAGTAAGGGTCTGAAGCTGGATTTGAATTCATGAAGATGAGTCTTCCTGATTCCAAGCCCAGTGCTCTATCCACTGCACCACCTAGCTGCCCATTCTCTGACTATAGTCAATACTAGTACCACAGGACCATGAATTTACTTTAGGAGGGATGACTGTAGTTTGGAGAGCAAGATATCAGTTAAGAAGTCTTTATAGTGACATCTTTGAGCAATAGTACACAGCCCCAATACAAATCTCCAAAAAGGGAAGGTTCAAGGTAACCAGTAAAGACAGGGAGAAAATAGGCCTCTGGTGTGATTTTCCAAGGTTCTCACCTCTGCTCTGGGGTGGGTAAGGGGAGGAGAAAAGAGGGGGAAACACACTATCACACAGTGCATACATGGCCCTTTTCCATTCTGGCACCCAGTAAGAGGTCACAGTAAGTGACTTACCCATAATAAGTGACTGCTGCTTTCCTCTAAGTTATACTGCCTGTAGTGAGGATGAGCCTTGAGCTAAATGGATGGAGGTGGTAGAGATTGGTGGTGTTTTGATTCTGGAGCACTATAAGGATGAATTGAAACAAAATCCTAGTTTCTTCATTACCCTCAATTGCCCTTCTCTTACTTTCCTTCCTCAACTAAGTCTCCCATCCTCCACTGCACAGTTCTCTTTTTTCTTGGCAAGGGTAGGAAAGGTCTAACTAACTAGGAAGTTGATGTGGGTAGTTAGAGATGGAAGATTATAGACTTGTTATGGAGTGGAATTGCCTTAGGAATGAAGATAACTAGCTATATGTCCTTCCCCCAAGATTAAATACTCATCAATTGATTTGTTTTAATAATCTGGAAATAAAGCTGGTATACCAGGTAGTGTAGGTGGATTTGGAATAAGGAAGACCCAGGTTCAAATCCCACTTCTGACACTTACTAGCTGTGGGGCCATGGACAAGTTGCCTAACCTTTCTGAGTTGCAATTTTATCATCTGTAAAATGGGAGTAATATACCTATAATACTTACCTCAGAAAATTGTTGTGAGGCTCAAATGAAAAAAATACATAAAGAACTTTGAAAAGTTTAAAATACTATATGAATTCCATTATTATGAACAAGCAGTGGAAACTGTGCTTTCTGAGATAGAAATGAAAGAATGTAGGAATTTTTTAAAGAATATGATATAATAGGACAACAAATCTAGTTAATAACCTATAGCTGTGGCCTTCAGGTCTTGAGTTTGGTCCTAAGGAGTTTCTTGTTAGCATTGATATAAAAGTGTTTCAGTGAGTTAAACCAATCTATAATGTTGAAGATGGGATGGATTTGCATTGTAAGTGAATTGAATTAATGTTAATTTTATAACATCCAGCTATCCCAAGCAGAGTTCATGTAGTTAATATACTCAGGACACACTACATAATTAAAATTATTCAGCAGTTCAAACACTCTAGAGATAGCTTGCTGGTTTAGGAGCTTTTATAAGAAAGATAGGCCAGGATAAAGGAAAGATTAATGAATAGAAAGATACCAGAGATGACATATTGCTGAAAAAAGTCTGGGTAGTTACACTAAGCCTTCCAGATCATTTGACTTTGGGTCTTAAAATTTTCTTCCAGGGGAAGAAAGAGTGATTGGGGAAAAAAAATGCTTTTATTTTCTGTTTCTAAGAGGATTCCTCTTAAAGCTTGTGTGTGCACACACACTTTTGTATGTTGCAAAATATATTTAAAATTTTTCCCAAAATTAACTTTCAGAGAAAATTAAGAGTGAAACATGTGGGAGAAGTGGATTTTCCCCTCCTTCTTTGACATCCTTGGATGTCAGTTGAGTAAGTAGAAGAACTTCTGATAAATAGAAGGATTCCTGATAAACAAAGCTGGACTGGGTTGAAAATTTGTGGCAGAGAGCTGGACCCTCGTCATACCCACGCACTTTGTCACTGAGATAGGGTAACCCATGGTAACTGAGCTCATCTCAGTTAAGGGACAGAGTGCCTCCCCTCCTCATTCCTCTATAAAAGAGACCTATCAAAGATACCCTACCAGTTCCAAGCAACCAGCTCAGACAAAGGTGAAGGAAAAACTGAGCCCCGACCTGGTGAGAAGAGTGACAGTCTACAAGGTATAGAATGTCGCCTGCCTTCAAACTTCAGTGTCACTTCATCCTGATCTTTCTGGGAGCTCTTAGAGGAGAGACCAGATACCTGGAGGTGAGTGAATATTACACCCAAATCTTCACACCTTTCCTCCAACTTTCAGCTTCAGGTAACTTGCCTCTCTATTGCATTTCTTTCTTTCTTTCTTTTTTTCTTCTGTCTCTGTAAAGGTCAGTTTGCTTTTTCTTCCTCTGAGACTGCAGACAGTACATGGGAGAATCCCCAGTGGCCATTCCTATCCACTGGGTTTCCCTAGACTAGTTTCTTCCTCCCTGGCCCCATGAGAATGCTCTGTTCTTAGGCGGATCAGGACCTTCTGACTGGGTCTTGGAGGGTCGGGAGGCATCAGAGGTTGGTTATAGGACATCAGAAGATGCCAGCTGCTGTTCCCCCTCGCTTCCCTCCCTCCGCTCTTGCCTCTGCTGTCGTGCAAGGAGGACTTCCATATACTCGTTTCTCTTCTCTCACCCTCCGAACTTTTCCCTGGTGGCCCAGTCGTGTGATCTCCAGGTCTTTCTGTTCTTTTCCAGCTGCGGGAGGTTGCAGAAGCCGACCCTTTCTTGTTCTTCAGCGCCGACCTGAAGCGGGAGCTGTCCGAGGAACAGCTCTATCACCGCTCGCTGAGTGAGTATCTCCAGTTTCACAGCCCAGACGGAAACTGTCCGGGGCATATGGAAAGTTGAGACTGTGTCTGTGCTAGGGGCAGACGGAACGATCTCGGGAAGTTAGACAAAAAAAGGTGGAAGGGATAGAGCCAGAAGATGTGGGGCTCCCCAGGGTTTTTGATCCAGGCTAGGAGGGGAAGCTGTCTGAACCTTGGGTCAGAGGAGAGCAGGACCAGGGGGTTAGGGAAACCAGGGATGCGTCCCTGTTGGGAGCTGGGAGCTCTGTGCAAGAAAGACAGTGGGAAGTCCAGAGAGGTCGCGAGTAAGGGGACTGACTGCGGTTTGGGGCTGGAGAAAGGAGTCTCCAGCTCAGATCCCAGATGCCGCGTCGCCGTACTATTGCCGACCTGACTACCGCCCGACGCCCACCACCCTTCGTTCCCCTCCAGAATGCATAGACATGCTGAGCATCGAGGGTCAGTTCACCTTCACCGCGGAGCAGCCCCAGCTGCACTGCGCCGCCTTCTTCATTGGGGAACCGGAGGAAGTCATCTCCATCCAATACGACCTGGTCAACATTGACTGCCACGGCGGAGACTTCCTGAAGGTGAGAATGACGACCCTATACCCAGAGCCTTCTCTCGCCCACCAGTGAGCTACTACAGATGGAGTTGGGGCTCAGGGGAATGGTCGTTACATATAATGGAGCTGGGCTGAGCGGGGCACAAGGTGTCTGGGAGCAGCCAGGGACCCCCATGTCCTGGTTCCTTCGCCCTCCCCACCACCCACCTCCAGAGAACTTTCAGTCCTTCCGTCGTGTCCTTTTCTGCAATATACAGCCCCTAGTCTCCCGACCTTTGAGACTATCTGTCCTAATAGACTGTGTGCACACAGTCCCGGGCAACAAAGCCTGGTGTTCCCCAGCAGTCAAGGGATGTGAGTGTCTTGGGGTGGGACAGCAATGGAGAGGTATCCTAGACTAGCAGCCCAACGCTCGTGAGTTAAGGGACAGCTCTCAGAAAGATCCAAGTGCCCTCCCAGGGAAGAATGGAGCTCATAGGGATCATATCATCATAAATTTAAAGCTGCAAAGGGATTTAGTACAGCCCCGTCCTTTTATAGGTTAGGAAACTGAGGTACAGAGAGTTTGTGACTTGAGTAAGGTGGTATAGGCAGTAAAAATCAGAATTCTCTGACTCCAAATCCATCATCTGCACACTTCTTTCCTTTTGTTTGGTATTGCTGGGACAAAGTCTCTCCTCCCTGAAACTGGTCTGGGGGAAAGTGAGATTAGTAAGTATATTAGCACCCTGGCAGGAATCCAAGGAAAGGTATGGACCTGGCAAGAGAGAATCCCCCTTGGACCCCTCAAATATTGGGACAAATATTCTTAACAGGTTAGCTGAAAGGGGATGCTCTCTATCCAATTAAAATAATTATGATTAAAACATTGAAAGTGCAAATGTTTTGGCATCTGTAAAAAACAATAGAATTGCCTACTTTGGTGCTGTAACATTCAGTAGAGGGTATTTGCTCAGGGTTGAGCTGGAAGCCTGTGGTGACTTGGACCTCTTACTTACCTACCACCAAGAAAATTAATAAGGGAAAGAAATGCTTCTAAAATATTAAAGGATTATTGTATTTGTTGAAAATTTTATCATTTCCTATTGATGTTTCCCATCTCTGACCTCCACTGATGTTCTCCTCTAGTGCCTCCTCATGGCCTGGTGGTGAACCTGGGCTCTCAAAAGTTGTGCCCTTTGAGTCCCACTTCTGAAAGACTTTACCCTGATGGAAAGCTTCTAGTATAGACCTGGAAAATGTGCAGCTGACAACCTGGCTAAATGCAGAAAGTGTGGGTTTGTTTGTCTGTTTTTTAAGACTTCAACAACTCATGTCTGCTAAGTCCTTAGAGGAGGAAAAGCTTCTTATTTATGTCTTCTGCAATTAAATCTTAGATCTTGGAACATCTAAATGCATGGGAGAAAACCAACATATATAACCATTTAGGGGCAAAGTTACTACTCCCAAAATTCATAACTTTCTACTAAGTATCCAAATTTCACCAGGGGGTAACTTGTCAAAAGGAATAAATGTAAAGATTTAATTATAAATTTCAGTAACAAAAGTGAAGCATTATCTGTGGTTTCATTTATCCTTGTGGTGACTATTATGAAGTGTGTGTGTGTGTGTGTGTGTGTGTGTGTGTGTGTGTGTGTGTGTTGATTGGGGGATTGATTATAAGGAAGGAAAACAAGCCACACATAGCCAAAGTATATTTAGAATAAATTGCAAGCAAGCTGGATGGTGGCAGGGAGGGGAGTATAAAATTATCAGTTATCTGAAGGTTACATTTGAGACTGAAGACCTGTTTTGAAAAAAGACACATTCCTTCTTTCTTTCTTTTTCTCTTCCTTCCTTCCTACCTTCCTCTCTTCTTCCATTCCTTCCTTCTTGAATTTTCCCCCATTAAAAACAAACAAGTAAACATCTATGTTTTGGGTACTGACAGAATCAACAAAATCAATCAACCAATAAACTTTCCATTTTTACATTACTGAAGGTTTTTGATGGTTGGATTCTTAAAGGAGAGAAATTTCCCAGTTCCCAGGATCATCCTCTTCCTATGTCTGACCGGTACATAGATTTCTGCAAAAGTGGCAATATCAGAAGTTTTAGCTCATCACAGAATGTGGCTATGATTTTCTTCCGGATTCATGAGACAGGCAATGGATTTACAATAACCATAAAGAAAAACCCTAACCTCTTCCGTAAGTGCTTTCTCTATTTCTTTTCAGTGAATAATTAGGCCTTTTGGTGAAAACCTATGCTTCAGAGTTGTCTGTGTGCTCAGGAAATGTGAACTGAGGAATAGTTTGGTGTTTTCTTAGAAATCCTTTTCATAAACAAATAAATCTGGAAATTTACTAATAGGATCTTTTGTTTTGATCATAAGGAAAACCAAGTCATGCTTTGTAATTTGTGTGCCCAACCTAGGGAAAGTACAAGAAATTTAAATCTTTCTCCCTAATACAATAGGCCTAATGACAAAAATGTTAATACTAAATCATTCTATTGTCTAGGATTAGCTTGACAGAAATTGCCTGCCCAGTCACTGGGAGGATTTTTTTTTTCTCAGAATTGAAAGACAGCATCTTATATAAAAGTATTTCATTTTATTTGTTTATGGTTTTCTGAACATGAACAATTTGAGCTATTACACTGCTTATTATAGCTTATAAATACTTATGGGCTTCTGCTACCCAGAATGGCTGGAATCAGGATGTTCTCCTTAACTACATTTTCTGATTAAGTGAGGAGCATTCAAATCAGTCAAATAGCAGGTTAGTTCCATGAGATGAACTCATTTCTTCCATGATACATCCCTGGTAAGGATAAACTCCATAGGATATGGGGACCTGCCTCATCTTAGTTTTCTAGTTGATTTATTTGCTGCTTTTTTAAAAAGGGTAATATTGAATAAAAAGTATCTCTAATGGTTAAAAGCAATATGAAACTAAGAGGGAAATGAAATATGTCTAGAATGCTAATACAAGTAGAAAGCAGGACACTTTAGTAATCACTGAAAAAAAAAGATGGATGTTAAAAAATAAAGTTTCACTAGAAATATAGGAAGCTGTGAATGATTTTGGAAAACAGTGAGGTAATTAGAAAATATTCAATAAAGTTTTTAGCAATGAGAACTGGGTTGTCTCTGGATCTCTTAGCTAACTGAACAAAGACTACATCTAGGCTGAGAGGTTAAAAAAGTTTCAGAAATTTCTGAGGAATGAGAGTCAAGTGGATTAAGAGAAGCAATGGAGGAGTCTCCTGTGCTAGTCCCAAGTATAGCCATGAATATGCATCCTTGGAGAAATCACTTAATCTCCATAGACTTTAGTTTCCTTAAGTCAAAGTTCTTTTGAAGTTCTTTCCAGATATAGCCATCTGGAATAGGAAACTTTACTTTATCTAACCTTCAGTCCCACTCTCTCCAGCAGGATAGATTTTACTGTACAAGTCTTTCAGTAGAAGGATTCCCACCTTTGTCTAGCCCACTCTGACTCCTGAGTAGTATATATAAACACTTAGTAGGACTTTAAAACATTTTTTCTTTGGTTTGAAGATTTTGCATAGGCAGCTTAATGTCAAGTGCTTTATAAACCCAAAATACTTCATACACATCAGTTATTATTATTATGAGGTTATTATTATTCAGATCATCAGACTTCCTTCTTGAAATAATATGTTCACCACAGCACTAGTATTTTGGGAATACTAATTGTATAGAAGATTGGATTCTCAAAGGGGCTAAATTTTCCACTTCCCAAGATCATATTTTCCTATGTCTGTGGGAACTGCAGTGTTCATACAATGATTTGTAGTAGGGATAGGTACCTGTGATTTATTGGCATAAGAAACTCTCCAGTTTGGCATAAGGGACTTAACCAATGTAGTTCTCCACTTTCTCTGCAATGTATAGTCTCAGAGAGTTATCTAAAGCATTGAAAGGTCAGGCATCTTGGGTCACATAATCATCAGCTTTTTTTTTTTATTTTTTAATTTTAGGCAACTGGGGTTAAGTGACTTGCCCAGGGTCACACAGCAAGTAATTGTCAAGTGTTTGGTCTGAGGCCAGATTTGAACTCAGGTCCTCCTGACTTCAGGGCCAGTGCTCTATCTGCTGCACCACCTAGCTGCCCCCATCATCAGCTTTTAGATGTGGAACCTGAAGCTAGGTCTTCCTGACTTGGAGACCTGCTCTCTATCCACCAGACCATGATATCTCCCCTAAAGTTATTTATACAACTAAATGTATAATAGCAGATTTTTATAAAAGCTTTTTTATAATTTATATTTTGATGTATAATTTATATTAATTTATATAATTTATAATTTCTGCCTTTTTACAAAGATGAACCACTAAAATTATGCTGTAGAGGCCTTGTTTCAATTTGGGTTAGAAATGCTTTATCTAGAAAGGGCAAGAATTAGGAATGCAAAGATTTTTTTTAACATGAATAACAAGATAAATAAATAACTACTTTTTAAAAGAAGGAAATGCCTCATCTCTCAACCAATCAACCAACAAATATTTATTAATGGCCTACTATATGCCAGACACTCAGCTAATCACTGAAGATGCAAAAAGAAGCAAAAGACAATCATTTCCCCCTCGAGGAGCTCACAATCTAATGGGGACATGACAACTTCCATTTTTGAGTTGTTTTTGATACCAAAGGGCCTTCCTAGTACACTTATAGCTTTTTTGTGACATTCAGATTTCAGTTCAGTCACTTTATTTGTGTCCAAGTCCTTTTGACCCCATTTAGGATTTTCTTAACAAAGACACTGGAGTGGTTTGCTTTCTCCTTCTCCAGCTCATTTTGCAAATGAAGAAACTGAGGCAAATAGGGGGAAGTGACTGGCCCAGAGTCACAGAGCTACTAAGGGTCTGAAGTCAGATTTTGAATTCAGGGCTTCCTGACTTCAGGCCTAACACACCTAGCTGCCCACAGGGCTACTAATAGGAACTTTTACGGATTGGGGATAGTGTGTAGGGCCTTCCAACCTAAAACAGGGTCTGTAACTCTTCCATAAAGGAATATATACAAGTTATAACTAATGAAGCTGGGCTTTTTTGTCTCTTACCTGTTCTAAACAGCCTGCAATGTCATCTCTCAGACCCCAAATGGAAGGTTTACCATGGTGATTCCTCATCAGCACAGAAACTGCAGTTTCTCTATCATTTATCCAGTGGTTATAAAAATCTCAGATCTCATATTGGGGCACTTAAATAACCTTCAGCTAAAGGTGAGTTGTTTTGCTGTTCACTGAAGTGTTTCTTAAGGTTGTACCTGTAACGGTGCCAGTAATCTGATTGGCCTATCTGTACCATTTGTACATTTTATCACTGTGTTTATGTCCATGTCTATGTGTTTTCTCCTACACTGTTATTAAAATCACATTCATTTATCCTTGCTTCTTTTAACCACGCCTCTCTCCCACCCCTCATCTTAAGCTTTAATCACCTACCCAGGTGTCCTGATTATCTGAATAATTTTCATTGTGGAAGAAATATTTCAAATGAGTGATGCTGGGCTGTATTATTACCATCCAACTCACTTGTGCTTGCTTCTTTCATGAAAAAGCTCCCTAGCTGAATCATGGCAATGTTATGAGTCATCTGCCCAGGTGTTTCTCTGATTATCTGAATTTTTTTTATATGCGTGAATGTCTCAGAATTATAAAATTATATTGTAGAAGAATGCAGCTGGTGTAGTACAAAATCTTGTTTTGACATTGGAAAGCATAGTGATGTGTTACTGAAGCTGTATAAATAGAATGTTAAAAATCTACTAGCCTTCCCTCCCTATGACTCCTCTTCCCCTTAAAATCATCCTTGGACTTGACAGGGTGGCTGATTCTCTCCTGGCTGGCCACTCTTAAAGGCCACTCTGCTCCCTCTATTGCTTCCCTTCCCTAACTGTATCCCTTCCTCTTCCCTTCCTTCCATAACCACCCCAGAGCTCCAAAGAGACTTCATGAAGTTTTCACTTTGCCTTTAGAAATTAGTTAGCCTGAGCTGGACTTCTGACCTTACACCCTTCCTCCTTTCCCCAACTAAATGCCCCCACCCAATCCTCAGCTTCAGAATACAACATATTAAATATGATATAAATGTGTATGTGGTATACATGATATTTGTACTGATGTTATACATGGCATGTATGCTTAATCAGTGGATAATTAAACATTGGCTTATTTATTTATTATTTAAACAATTAAACATTGGTTTCTGTATAATGTTTCTATAAACATTATACCTTGACATTGTGGGCCATTAGAGGACAAGGTCTTCCTCTTTGTACCATGAGTACCCAGCATAGTGACTTACAAGACAGATAAAGTGGTTTCTCAAAAAATGCTTGTTGAAATGCAACATGGAGTAGTGATAGCACCATTAGATTTAGAGGACCCAGGTTTGAAACCAGGCTCTGTTGAATACTACCTGTGGGACCTTGTGTAGATAACATCTTTTCTATCTATATAATTAATGTATGGATTAAACTGAATGATCGCTAACTTCACTTCTGGTTTTATATCCTATGAGTCCCTAAATCAGGGGTGGGGAACCTGCAGCCTTGAGGCCACATATGGCCTTCTAGATCTTTAAATGCAACCTTTTGATGGAATCCAAATTTTATAGAACAAATCCTAAAATCAGAATTTCACCACCCCTGCCCTAAATTATATCCCTCTCCCAGCCCCCATTCCAGTCCCTATGGATTTCGGAATGAATAAAGGAATAAATACCATCTGTTGATATAGTTTTGTCTTTCATGGAACATCCTCCACCTACATATTTATCTGTATTAATGTCCTCCATTTTAAATTATAGTTCTTAGAGGACAGGAATTATATCTAGTTTACTTCTCATCACTTGTTATTTCTAGGGGCAGTACTTATAAATACAGCTTAATGATGATTAACATAATGATTGATATGTAACAAAAGCTAGCTCTTTAGAATGAAGGATTGCTTTGCCAGGAAATCTCAGTAGGTAGGGCTTAAAGTACTGCCAAAGGGATTAAGGCGGGGATTCTTATCGTGGGGTCCATGAACTTGTTTTTTGTTTTTTGTTTTAATATTTTGATAACTATTTCAATCTAATTGTTTTTCTCTGTAATCTCATGTTTTATTTTATGCATTGAAAAACATGATTCTAAGGAGAGGTTCATATTGCCAGATTGCCAACAGAGTCTGTGACAGAACAAAAGGTTAAGAACTCTTGGATTAAAGAATACAGAGGGATATGTTATTTTACATAAAACCTCAAATGAGAAATGTGGGAGGGTTTGAGTGACTGCATTTGAACTGGAGAATTTATTTTAGCTGGCCTGGAAAAGAAAAAAAAAAGAGGCAAGGCAGCCTTAGTCTTTAATGCTCAATCAGGAATCAACTGTATGAGCAGTAAATTTTAGGGTGCTAGTCTCTCTTTGAGAGACAGAATAGTATAATGGATTAACAGCTTCCCTTGGAGTCAGGAAGACCTTGGTGCAAGTACATCTTCTGATACATAATGTCCATGTGTCCCTGGGCAAGTCATTTACTTCAGTGCTATAGGCAATTCTCTAAGACCATAAATTTCAGAGAAAGTGTTGACCTGCAAAGGGAGCAGGGCTTTCCTCACCTGGGAGTTCCATAGAGTACTGAAATCACAGGTCCCAGTTTTATTCCTAGTCCTTTCTTTAAGTGCTCATGAATAATTCAAGACATTATCACTAAGCCTACTACAGTAGAAAGTATACTATATAGACTTTTAATAAGAGGTTTTTTGATGAAGAACAGGAGGAAGGAAGAAAAAAAAATCCTTGATTATATTAGACATATGTCTGAATTTCTGTAACCCTGGTTCAATTCATGAAAGAATTTTTAAAATTCAGCATGCGTGTGCAAAGGATTTGATGATTCAATTTCTCAGACAACTCCTGTGCTCTTCACAGTTTTCTACTCTATAGTTCAGATCCTTGAGTGAAAAACAGTTTAAAGAAATGATTACTCAACATATTCAGAAAGTAATTCTGATAAACTTTCCTTTTTAAACATGGATTTTAATTTCCGGAGAGCCAGATGCTGCATTTAAAATTAGATGTTTCTGTAAAAGCTTTTAGGGCCATGATTGAGTGAATCCATGCAATCTTTCATTGGTTAAGCACTTTGATTCTATCATTCATTAAAGGCAACCCCTTCTGCTGCTTTATTTTTTTTTTTTATAGAAACCTTCAGTAGGTTGTGGGGGAATAGGAGATTTTGTGGAGCTACTGGGAGGAACTGGATTGGACCCTTCGAAGATGATGCCTTTTGCTGATCTATGTTATCCTTTTCATGGCCCTGGTAAGATATTTGTTTAATGTCCTATTCAAATAATTTTTAAATGAAAACTCTTTTGAAAGATAAAAAGGTCAGTAAGGTTTCCAACATTTCACAGTATACATGTGTTACCTTTGTGTGAACCAAGAAGAACACTGAATTTGGAGTCAGAAGACCTGGGTTCAAATCCTAGCTCTCCTAACTTAAAACCTGTATGACCTTGGGCAAGATATTGAATGAATTAATTTAAAAAGCACTTACTATGTGTTAAGCACCTACTATACACCAAGTACAGTGCTAGGTACTAGGGGTCCTACTACAAAACAATTCCTGTCCTCAAGGAACTTAACATCCTAAAAAAGGAATACAGCACATATAGGTGAGTGGTGGACAAAGAGGGTAGTTTTGGTCTGGAGGGTCACAGGAATGGTAAGTGAAGCTATAGGTCATTCCATTATCAGTAATGACAGTAGTAATGGAACCTTTGCTTTGATTACTGATCCCATCACAAAAAGGTAGAAATGGGACAGTGGGAGGAGAGAAATGGATTTGTAGGGCAGATGGCTATATGTCTGATAAACTCTGGTTTCCTGGAGGTGGATGACTAGCTGGAATATGAAACATGGTCTGGATATTGTAAGTTAAATGAGTTTGCCCTCACTCACCCATCAATCAAGATAGCTTAGCTCAAGAGCTGAATTCCAAAATTGAGCAGTTTAACTCCCTTGGGGAAGTGGAACTGTTCTCTGGTGGAGAATGGTTCCTTTTTCTTCATCTGCAAGGTGAGGGCGTGAAAATACAAGATTTCTAAAGTTCTTTCCAGCTCTAAATCCTGTGACGGCTATGTTGGAAGTATTGCATATTGTAACCTGAAAATTGAACTGAAGAAACACAAAACCCACTTTATCAGTACCTCTGATACCTTATGGAAGGCTTGTCTGGCAAGAGCAAAGGAACAAACAAATGTATTCCAAAACTGTGAGGTGAGCAAAGTTTGTCTCTGTTTTCCCAACAAGGCACTAACAATTTTTACTCTCTTCTCATCCCCCCCCCCATAATGTACTCAGAGGAAAAGTTTTGAAGTTCATTCACCTTGAGGTAGAGATGACTGAAAAGTGCTTAAAGTATTTGCATTTTAACAGGTCCAAAAGACTTAGGCTACAGGAGTAAAGTTCTGATGGTGAACTTTGAAGATGTAGCCAACAAGGAGACAATACATTTGAGGACCAGGTTCTTCCTGGCTTCCCTAAAACCATACTGTGTGAGAAGTCATCTGTATTGCCCACCTGTAGGACTGACTGACTGGTCCTTGACTCAAAAGCCAAAGTGGAAACAAGTGACTTAAGAATGAAAAAGATGGACTTCTGCATGGAAACACCTTGGGGAACTGGTTCTCAAGTCACAGGTTAGGACTTCAGAGGTGGGGAACCTGCAGCCTCAAGGCCACACATGGCCCTCTAGGTTGGGGGTGAGGAGCAAATTTGCTCTGTGAAGTTTGGATTCAGTCAAAGGATCACACTTGGGGCCCTAGAAGACCACATGTGGCCTTGAGGCCAGGAGACAGCATTTCTCTCAAGTGTATAAAATATACATAATATATTTTTGTCTAGATCTAAAGATTCAGGAGTAAAACTAGAGAGGAAAGGAAGACAAAGACTTCCATTCTTGTGATCTCTCTAAAAAAAAACAAATTTTGCTGAAGATAAAATGCCTGTAAGGCATTGCTGAAGTCTTAATGATTAAAATAAAGCACAGAAGCAGAATTAAGAGAGGCTAGTGAGGATTCAGGTCAAAGTAGAAATTGTATTTTTTCCCCCTGGGGATTGGGGGGAGAAGGGGAGTGAGATGTACCTGAACCAAAATTTCGTCATTGTGAGGAGTTCCCTATATAGAAACTCCTTCCACCAACACAGAAAAGCATCTGTCCTGTAACTTAGAGTCTTAGAGAGATACCAGGAGGCCCTGAGAAGTGAAGGAACTTGCCCAGGAACAGAAAGCCACTTCTTGCCAATCAAGACAGCTCCTTAACCATCACTCACCCTCATTTGTGGGCCTTCCTAAAAAACCTAAGAAGACTAGCCAACACGTGTGTTTTAAGCCAGAATTTGGTTTAAGGCACACCTTCCATTGTCATAAGGTAAGAAGATTGTTTTCTAAAAGCCCCATACCAGAGAACAGGGAAATTTGTTTCACATATTCATGTTTACCTTGTTTCTCCTGTCTTTTACACTGTAGGTTCCCTAGTGTTTATCTCCATACTGTGTTCAATATTTAGCTTGCTTGGGGTGGAGCTTGGCAGGACAGGCCTCTAACTGTCAACAAAAAGGTGAATTTTAGGAGATGAGGTTGAGGACCAGAAACAACATTTACCTGAATTATTTAGATAATTGAAGCTAGGGTCATCTTTTAAGGCTCAAATTAAATGGATAATTGCCTCCATTCTCTGCTTCATTTTTCATGTGCTGTTGCACCTTTCACTTTTCTAAGGGGAAAATAATAGTTGGATAATGAGGACTTATGAAGAGCTCTGTGCTTTAAGTTGGACTTTTCTGAGGATCATGCTAAAAGTCTAGTTTGAAATCCCTGAAGCATGCATGACACAGGGGAGAGGAACATTCTACAGCACAAGGTTTCTCATGTGAGCAAAGAAAGAATGACCTCTTTGAAATAGGTGGGGAGTAATTTGGTCCTACTAGTAGAGGCTGTTCGGATCCTGATGAGTACCTGGATTAGAGTAAAAACAGAAACTGATTTTCTCTTTGTGAACTTCACACAGCACAATGCCAATTTATTTCAATCAAAATTTGTCTTTAGCTGGTATTCCTGCACTACAGAACTCACCAGTGCTTCTCTGGATTTGGGTCTGAGGTATCCAAAGCAAACAAAACAGGCTAATAAACATGAAAGTTGGAAAGGGTGGCATTTTGTGCCTAGGTCTGCCGTGCTTTGTCTATTATCAAGAAAGTACATGAGCACCCATTGGCATTATTACCTTCCTTCACAGAGACTGAGAGAGAATCATTATCCTCCTGCCTGTCCTTTTCTTCCTCCTTCCTCTTTTCCAAATGTCCAGTCACTGGAACTCTGTGCTTAGCCACCATACCCATTTTTACTCTGTTGTCACAGAATACTAGAGCTTCAGAGATCATCTAGTCCAGAGGGTCCCAATCTAGGACTATTTGGCAAATAATTATATTATCCTATTGAAATTAATTGGTCTCTATACTTTATTTCTTATAATAATAGTTAACATTTATATAGTGCTTTAATGTTTACAAAATGCTTTATAAATATTATCTTCACAACAATCCTGGGAAACAGGTACTATTATTATCCCCATTTTGCAGATAAGGAAACTGAGGCAGACTGTGATTAAGTGACTTGTCAAGGGTCACATTGCCAGTAAGTGTCTGAGGTTAGATTTGAACTGAAGTCTTCCTGACTCCAAATCCGGGGCTCTCTCCTCTGTGCCACCTATCTATCTATCTGGCAAACACTATATACCTGAGAATTTATTTCCTTTCCTATTTGAATAGGGGATATGGGTAGGTCAACTGAAAGTCAAGGAGCATATGGACAAAAAAAATGGGATTCTGTAATCTATTCCAACCCCCTTGTTGCCCTTGTTCCCCACCCCACTTTCCTGCCTCCTGCTTTGTGTTGCCTCCCCCTTTTGAATTGTTAAGTTCCTTGAGTACAGGAACTGTCTTTCTTTTAATTGTACCCCAAGCACTTGGCACAGTGCCTGGCACATGGTAGGTACCTAATAAATGTTTATTGGATTGAATTTGGGGGGGAACCAAAGCCCAGTGAAATGAAATGATTTATCTAAGGTCACAGAAAAAATTCATGGAGTAGCTAAGCTGAAAACCCAGGCTTCCTGACTCCCAGTGGAATGCCCTTGGGTAGAGAACTACAATTTTGTTTGCCCTGCTAGTTTATTCAGAGGAATATTTCTATGAGCGTGGAGCACTGCACAGAGCCCTAGACTTATTGTCCCGTGACTTGAATTTGAACTTCATTAAGATAATTATTAGCCATATGACCATGTTATCTACTCCAAGTCTTAGCTTTCCCATCTATACAATGAAGCTAGTAACACATGCAATGCCTCCCTCTTGCTTGTTGTGAGGACAGTGCTTTGAAATCCTCTAAAAATGTGAGTCACTATTTCAGGCCTCATGCTTTTCTACTCCCCTAACCTGATCGTGAGCCTAGGTACATGCTTAGCTGGTGGGAACCATATAGGCAAAGCTAGAGCAGGACTTTTCTCTTCTTTTCATTGGGGTACTGCTATTCCCTAGATGCAAGGTGATGCTTGACCTAAAGATGTGCTATGTTAAAGCTAAACAGAGAACTAAAGTAATCTATTATCCGACAGCAGCACCCATCTCAAGATGACTAGGGAATTTAGGAAGACTTCTTTCCATGAACTTCAAAGTGAGTAGTTTGACAGACTGGCTTGTGCCATGTGAATTCTGACTTACTGTGAAATTTAATTTCTTTTCTCCATCCCTAACAGCCCAGATGACAATTGGCTGTGACAATACTGTAGTGCGTATGGTCTCCAGTGGGAAACACATCAATCGCGTGACATTTGAGTATCATCAGCTTGAGCCCTATGACCTGGAAAGTCCCAATGGAAACAGCATTAAGGAATACTGCTTCCCTAGCCTCTGAATTGCCAGGCTAAGATTTCCATGTTGCTAACGAAGTGAGGTTTTACTGAATGTACCATGTACTTCTAAGTCTGATACCCTGGAATCATTGAATCTTTCTACTGTCTAGTACTTAGCTATTTCATACCAGTCAGTATTACCAGCCTTGTACTGGAAATAAAATCACTGCAATCATTTTGTGTTTTCCTTTGGGGTTTAAAATGTGGAAGTGGGCACAAGGTAGAAAATGGTCATTTTTTTTGCCAAGACAAACAAGGCTGAGTAGATCATGTGTGCAACACCTCTGAAAGATGGATCATGTGACATTATGATCTTTTCACACTGGGTAAAACTCCCAAAGGAAGATCCAACGGTGGCATGTGTCTCCTTCAGTTTATAATAGAAAGTCCGGTGTTCCTATGTATGGAAAAGCAGTTGCTTCTGTTTTATTTATTATACCAACTCTCATTTATTTATTGATGTATTTATTTATTTGCAATGCCTTGTTTTTAATAAAAATTTGTAGCATGGAAATATTTTCCTTTCACAACTTCAAACATTAATAAAAATACATTCAAAGTGTTGGCACAATCTTGGTTATGGTTTATTTTTTTCCTCTGAGTAGTTCCCTACTTTGTCACTTTCAGATAGTTTTTGCCATTTTATTAAGACTGAAAAGATGTTATGAGGAATTGTTTTAGATTTCTCAGTCAGCTTAGTAAGATATAAGGAATAGGGCTCCTGAAATAAAAGTTTTTGTGAGGGTAAGGTGAGTTTACAGTTGCCTGGTTAGGGAAGATCACTGAACTTCAGAGAAGCAAAATGTTCTTCATGAGAAGACAAAACTCATGAAGATCCAGTTGGGGGATATGGTACTGGAGTTGCCTGTTTGATTTCAGGGCCTTTTACCAGGCCACGAAAGGAGGACACCCTACCTTCTCCCATTTCCCTCCAATCAGAAAGACCAGCACTAAATTTGAATGTTAGAAAAACCGAGACATTAAGCTCTAAATGGGGACAACGGCAATTTTAGTCATTTGGTCAAGTCACTTCTCTAGAGCTTCCCATTAGATTCAACGAAAAATGATCCATGGGACAATTATTCATAAAACCATCCACCTTATAAAAGCATGCCACTGGTCACCAGGACACTATGGGAAAGATTGTGTGGGAGGAAAATTATTCAAATACAGTTTTTAAATCCCTTCTTTCTTGATCCTGGCCAGACACACGCCCATAGCCTTTTACTGAAACTCAGGAGTAGCTGCAACAAAGGTTTTAGAATAGCCCAAATAAAAGCTAATGACTCCATGAGATGCAAAAAGGAAGAGAGAAAAATGGCAACTACCAAGAATTCAGCAGGAACTGCAATGAGGGTTTTGACAGTCTAGCCAATGTTGGAGAGTTTCTGAGGTCAGCAGAGGAGGAAAATGAGACATATGGGCTATATGTCAGGTGCTGGTGGTGTGTGGATAATGCCTTCATTGGCATTTCAAGCCCCTCTCTGACTGCAGAGAGACTTAGCCAAGCCTTCCAGTGATGTTATAAGTCTTTAGAGAGGTTTGGAACCCAAACTAGGCTCGGAGGAAGTAATGAAACTGTACTCCCTGGGGGAAAGAGCAGTTGTTGCTTTCTATTGCTTTAATGTTCATTTTATCCTATATAAATGTTCTAATTTTCTAAACGTAATGGTGACCTAGGTTTGTTAGCAGCTGGAGGAAGAGAATCTCCTAAACCGGGGCAAACTTCAGAAGTTCCTACTTATCT